TATATATATATATATATATATATATTATGAATTATTCTGATGAGATCCAAACAATATACCTCATACAGATGATCATTTCGTCCATGGGAAAGTAGTTTTTCCCCGGATTATCAATGCAAATACATTTACTAAAATGAATAAAATCTCACGTATCTTTACATGAATTTTGAAAGGCAAAGGAAGGATAGAAAAAAGGAAAGTATAAAAGGAAAGGGACTCAGAATTGTCCTATAATAGAGGATAATATTATATAGATATAGAGTGGTAAGGGGCCTAAAGTGGTTTTGGTTGATATAGATTTAGGTATCGCCAGCGATTACCTAAAATGTCTGTACATGATGAAAAAACAACTCAAACTTAATAAAAACAAAGTATTATCGTTAAAATCTTTGTGCTGCTGTTAAAAGCAAATAGAAAATGATTTTTGCTCTTAAATTATATTTATTAATAATTCTTAGTATTTTAGTATCGTCAAAATGTTAATTTTTTTCTTGCGTTAAGTCGGTATCCATAAATTAGTATGGGGAAGTTTTGTGGTGAAAACCATATTGATTTTGAAATTCTTTGAAAAATTATTGTCGGATTTTAATGTAACTTTCATAACTTATTCAAAAATGAAAACAGTTCTTTTAAAATCTTTCTATTTTAGAAAATCTTGGTAAAAATATATTTCCCATTTGTTACCCCCCACCCCTTGCACTTAATTATGAAATTTCGAGAAATTTATTTGTATGGCTTAATGTTTATGTTAGTTTTTCTTGGAAATTTTAATTTATTTTTTATCAAATATGAACTTCAGGTAAAAAAAAAAAACATTTCTGAATTCTTGAATAAAAAATAACAAAAATGAAGATAGTATTTAATTGAAAAATATGTAATTATTTTTATGCATATGTTACTGACACTATTGTTATAAGAAAAATCATTTTTTCGATGAATAATAATTTTTTTCCAAAAATTGTTTTGACAATCTTAAAAATTTTAATTAGAATAATTTATGAGGTTTTTAAAACTTTAAAATTTTTTTTAAATTATGTATTAATTTATAGCGGTAAAGTGATATTGTTATTACTTAAAATATATATATTAAAAATAAATGAAAAATGTTTACTCTAATTCAGCCACATCAACTATTAATATAAACTGAATTTTGAATTTTTATGTGCATATAAAAAGGTACGGATTTTTGTAAAATCGCATAATGTCAGGTCCATACAGAAAATTTCAGAAAATAAAAGTAGCTATCGTAAATTTGAAATTAACTGGTAGCATTTACACAATAAGCATCTTCGTAAGTAAGACTATAAAGCCAAAGTATTTAAAATTCAAAAAGTTTATTACGTTTTAAGATTACTGACAATTTAATAAAATTCTATAAAAAAAAGGGCCTTCAATTTGTATTCGTAAATTTTCTTTACAGTTAGGCACTCTTTACATAAATATGGCGAACATTATACTATGGATAAATTGTTTTCAAGAATTTGTTAAGATTTTGGAATTATAAAATAAAAGATTCAAGAAATTTTAAATATTTTTAAATTTTTACGATATATATATATATATATATATATATATATATATATATATATATATATATATATATGTATGTGTGTATGTTTGCATCATTTTAAATATATATATGGGTAAATAACTGGACAGGCTGGATTCTATAAGCTTGGGTGTCAACCAGTCTAGGAGAAGGAAAAACTTAGAATTCAAAACAGGCCTGGTGAATATATTCGAACGTTAGGAATCACCACTTCTACTGCGGCGACAGTACACATCGTTACCCTACAATCCTATTAATTATTAATCATATATATATATATATATATATATATATATATATATATATATATATATATATATATATATATATAAGGGCTCTATTGAAATAAATTATTATAATGGTACCTTAAATTGGTCTGTTTTTCTTTAAAATATATAGATAGATAGATAGATGAATAGATAGATAGATTGCAAAGATTATATATATAGAGAGAGAGAGACAGACAGACAGAGAGAGAGAGGGAGAAGGATAGAATGCTTGAGGAATTAATCAGAGATGTACTCTGTAGATCTGTGGAAATGTGACTTTTCAGCATAAGCGTTTTTCACATTTATTACTTCTAAAAATATTATAACGGTCATTCGAATTTTCAGTGCCAGTCGCTGCCTATTTTTCTCTAAAAGAAACGGAGAAAGAAAGATCGGCCTTTCTTGTGATTTTTACAACCAGTCAAAGTCAATCCGCTCAATATCGAAAGCATTGTATAATGCAGAGTTGCTGGGTGATACATGACACAAAACGACCTTTTTGTGCGTCAGACGGAGGCACGTGAGCGGGTGTTAACTTTTATTGTTATTCTGTTTTGGCCAAGCAGGACAAACGGAGGCTGCGGGTAGTCAGGGAATTGAGAAAGTGTCTTTTCAACAGACAGACGAGAGGGTAATGAGGGAACGTAATGGAGACACATGAACAAATGAACTGACGACACATGGCACGAATTGTCTGAAAAATGGCGACAGGCCTGTCCGGATAAGTAGAAAACCAATCATAACAGAGACCATAGATCACGCAGAGGAGAGACTATCAAGGCGCCGTGTATTCTAGCATTCAAACACACCCTAGAACACAAATATATATATATATATATATATATATATATATATATATATATATATATATATATATATATATATATATATATATCAAGTCATACGTTTTTTATCATTTGTCTGAACCAGGAGAGTTATTCATCTAACTTCGCACTGATATAAACTGAGGGATATCTATCTATCTGTCTAACTATATATATATATATATATATATATATATATATATATATATATATATATATGTGTGTGTGTGTGTGTGTGTGTGTGATGGGGTTTTCTTTTGCTACAGTCTCTTCATATTTATCTGTTTAATTATGTCTGTCCGTTTCATTCCTTCATCTCTCTCTCTACACACACTCACGCTCCCTATATATATATATATATATATATATATATATATATATATATATATATATATATTTGTAATATATATTTGTATATTTATGCAGCAATCCTTCGTTTATGCATGTTTGATTAAAAACAACAGACAAGGTACTACGGTTATGCTTTTTATTTATTTTTTCTTGCGTTCGAACAAGAGCTTTCTTTGTTGAACAAAGAGTGTCCAAATGTTTTATAGTTCCGAGCGCTTTCGGCTATATCTTTAGTCATTATCAAGGATGATTCGATTTTTCAGCTTAATTAAGTGTGTGCATTATGTGTACGTTTTAGTGTGTTATAGAGATTTTTTTAATTTCCGAAAACGGTTAGTAAATTGTGACCTTGTTCGTAGTTAATATTGTTATGAGTTCGCTTTTTTCTTTTTTATTATTAAAGCTTCCATTATTTTCAATTTTTTTACAGGTGGAAGAAGTTATTATATTCGTGTTTTCTACTAATATGTTTCTAAGGGAGATTGGTAAGTTTGTGTGTGTGCTTAAATGGGTTCTAATAGAGCTATGATCAGATATGTGTAACGTAAGACGTCTAGATAATCATGTAGTTGTGTAACCGATGTAATTATTTATGAGCCCGGTTTGATCAGGAACGCAGTTGAAAAGGGGGCATTTGAACTCATAGATAATGTTCGTTCTTTGTAATTTTGACTTAGCTGGTGTGTTGTTATTTTTGAGGATAAAGTTAACTGTCTTATTTTTTTATAATAGATAATTAAATTGATTTTTTATTTGGATCAATTAGGGTAGTGTATTTCTTTATAATATTTCTAAGTGAAGATTCGTCTTGTTTGTACTTAATGTACTTAAGAAATAGTCTAGTAAGGTGGTTAGGGAAGTCGTTCTTTGTTTTAAATTACTAAGTTCTTTAAGGAAGAGTAGTCGAGAGGATGAATTCTGGTCTGCTCTTTTTAGGAAGATTTTTGTTACTGCTATTTTGTACCTAAGTGGGCATTCGCTTTTAAAGTTAAGTTGGCAAGAGTTTTTGCTAGTGGTTATTTTTTTTAAAATAATGAGGTAATAAAAAGGGTTATTGCTATTTTGTACGAGAACATTTAAGAATGGGAGTTTGTTTTTGACTAAGTTCATTGGTACAGTTAAGGATGGAGTTTTTCTAAAATGTGGTCTTAAGTGTATATATTTCTTTAATGTTATTTGCTAAAATAAAAATATCATCTACGTAACAGACATATATTTTAGGTTTACAGCCCTGTGTAAATATCGTATTTTCTACATGGGACATGTAATATTTGGAAAAGCATGGACCGAGTGGATTTCACATACTAACACCATTAGTTTCGGTGTAAATGCTGCCATTATGGTCATAGAATGGAACTTTGGTTGTGCATGCGTGTAGGAATTTTTTTTAGGATAGATGGTTTGACGGATGGCGGAGGGATAGAATTATTAGTATAAACAGAATTGAGGATAATGTCAATGGTTTGCTCGACGGGGATGTTTGTAAATACGTTTTCGACGTCAAATGACGCTATTATACCTTGGTTTTGTTTTAGTAGTTTTTAAAATTTGGAGGAATTCGTGGGTGGATGTGATGCTATAATTGGTATGTAGTGATGATGTCATTCAAGAATTTTGATAGCTCGTAGATAGGTGATGGGATCTGGGAAATGATTGGTTTAGCGAGTAGAGGGGTTTATGGGTTTTTATATTTCCATATAAATATCTAAGTTGGTAGTCTCCAACGATTTTTTGAATTTTCAGGGAACCGACTTCCGCGTTGTTACTAGTTTGTTGACGGAACTTTTTAAGGTCTCAGTAGGGTTTCTGTTTAGTTTGGTGAATTTAGTTTGGTTATTGCCAATATTTTGTAATTTTTTGTGGTAATCGGCTTTATGTAAAATTACGTAATATTAGCATTATCAGCTCATCTGATAACAATGTCGGTTTTGTATTTTAATTCTTTATATATATATATATATATATATATATATATATATATATATATATATATATATATGGTTAAACCTAGAGAGCCAGACAAACCTACCAAGGTGTCACCTAAGCGGATCGTCAGGGTAGGCTGAAGGTCTGATCTACTTACTGTATCGAGCACTTTATTTAGTTATCTTGTCTACTCGTAGCGGTTTTTTTTTCTTTGGGCTTTGGACTTGCATACTAGACGATTATTTTCGGCTAACGTACATGTTCTTGGTTCTTTCTTTTTTTATACCTTTTTTCCCCTTTGGTATTGGTTTGATTATTTGCAAATCAAAACACTGAAGGTTTTCCGAACGAGTATAATTTCGTATACTTATAAGATTACTACTAATAATAAATATATGTGTATGTATGTATTTATATATATATATATATATATATATATTTCAGATTTTCCTTCTTCTAGGCAGGTTGCCATTTGTTATTCATGGATTCATACCTTTCCCAAATGTATTTTCGACAAATAGAATGTAACGAGGCTCGACTGGAAAGCGAACTCTGATCTTCGATTTCTCGTTACCAGCCTCCCTACATTACACCTTCCATACATCCATAAATTTTTGAATGTAAAGTTTTAAAAATATTTACTCATTCTACAAGTTTTAACTGATCGTCAAAAACTTTCTTTTTTTTATAGAAAAACAAGAGGAAAATACGCATTTATACTAAATAAAATAAATTGCATAAATATCCGCCTGGGTACAGTCTGCATCCCACCAGGTCCTTTTTTTTTCTTGGTGCCTATTAACCTTCAATGAACATGAGACTGATCGTTCTATGTTACTTGCAGCTACGATTAATCTCTGATTAATCCTTTAGAGAAAAACTAGAGAAAATACTAAAATACTAAGAATTATTAATAAATATAATTTAAGAGCAAAAATCATTTTCTATTTCCCTAAACTTCAGTAACGGAAATAATTTTCATTATCATCACAGAATAAATTCTTGCGATTGAGACTAAAGTATTCAGTAAATATGAAGAGCATCGACTGTACTTAAACTGCTTAAGTAAGTTTACTTGTTTTGTTATCATGTGGAGCGAAAACGGAAGTAAGAGCCAAGACAGACAGTCATCAAATGAGACAAAATGCTTTCTGAATCAGAGGATTCGCGCATCCATCCAGTTAAGAAATTAATCCTCTGAAAATAAATATTTAACATTTTCAACCAACGGGTCGCGTTCACGATGACAATAAAAGAAAATGCATCATGGCCCCTTTGAAGAATATTTAAGAAAATCTTTAGACGAATAAAACTCTTAAGGAGATTGAGACGGATACATGTGATATCAGTTCACGGCTTCAAAGAGATTTCGTTACATATTTATCGTCTTCATCACCAAGCTACGTCACACTTAAACTCTTCCATACGCCACACTTTCACTTTCCTCTTCACTGTCTCCCGTGCTTATTTTTTTCTCACACATACATGGAAATACAAACAAGGAAGTCTAACACCCATACAAGATGAGAAAAATGTAGTTGTAAAAACACGAAAATAAAAAATGCTTTATATTTTTATATTCAAAAAACTTTTTCGCCTTTTTCTTTGAAGTGGGCTGATTCAACTCCACGAAAATCACTGTCACTTTCTTTACCTTTATCCAAACCATCGCTCGCCATGACTGAGTCATATTTTTTTCATTAAAAAATCAATTATTTTTCTGTTATTATTATTAACATAAGCATCAGTTAGAACAAGAATTCTGCTGTTAAAACTTTACATCACTGTTTTTTATAAAAACAATAACTTAACATTTTTGCATTTAAATAAAAGTTCGATTTACTAAAGGTGAAGATATTTTATTTTGAAAACTAAATTTCTTTTTCTCAAACTTGACAGAACTGCTCAATAATGTGCGAATAGCCAACCCTTGTATGCTCAAAATATAGGATAGAAAAAAACAATTACACCTGTGATAACATTCATATAATGAATTGGGTAAACGTTTTTATCCATTAAAAGCTTCAAAACGACGTAACATTATCGAGCAGTGTTTAGAAAACAGAGTCAATTATCCACATTTTGATTTTTATTGTTATTGCTACATGTTTGTTATTGTTATTGCTACATGTTGCTCACCAGAGTTGGTGCATAAATGCTTACAATTAGAAGAAAAAATAAGAGAGAATGAATGTATAGCTGAAATGGTTTTCGTTGAGCAGGTAATACAATTTGAACTATAATATTTAATAGTACTACGTATTTACATTTTTACAATGAAGTCTTTTTTATGCAGAGGTGTGTGTATGTGAGGGGATGTTTGTGTACATTTTGAGGATTCATTTTGTTCTTCTAAGTATTCGTAGAAAAGAGAATTTGTAAGAAAGATCTATAAAACCTTCACACAATCATATGAATATTGCAAATAAGACTATTAGCCCTGGCTGCTGTGATGAACTTTTGATGTTTTACGGCTTATATGATATATACTGGAAAGTATGTAGAGATGGTGGTATGTCGTATCTCTGTTATTTTTGCTATGAGCTGACTCCTGTTCTAGTAAGCTCTACAATAAATACCT